TGAGCCGTGTCAAGTACGGAATTGTTGACACTCTTGGCACTCAAATGCAATTAGAGACCATTTCAAGTGACGTTCAGGGAACAAGAATTGAGGTTGTTTCACTCTGTAATAAAAAGGGTAGGGTTTTTACTTGATGGTGTAATGTTCTTGGAATGAGTCTAATAATACAAATCATAGCTGATTATCCTCCATCTCTGCCAGTGTCAGAACAGTAAAAAGTCTTAAACATGGAGAATAGCTTACACATAAGAGAAACATTTCCTGACCCGGATGTGGGATTAGATTGCCTAAATTTGGAATTCCCATAATAATTCCCTATTTTAAAAGGTGGAATACTTCGCTTTTCTAATATGATTTCTGTGCACTCTTATTAATTTTTAAAAAAAATTTTTAGTTGTAGATGGTGCTGAGGATTGAACCCAGCACCTCATACGTGCAAGGCAAGTGCTCTACCACTAAGCTACAGCCCCAGCCCATTATTTATTGTTGAAGTGTGTCTTACATTAAAATGTTTGTCTTTTCTCCTTTTTTCTTTTTTTTTTTTTTTTTTTTTTCTTTTTGGTGATCCTGGGCATGGAACCCGGGGCTTTACACATGATAGGCAAATGCTTTACCCTGAGCTACACCCCCAACCCTGGGTTTGATCCCTAGAACAATAAATAAATAAGTAGATAAAATATGTCTCAATCTTCCAGAGAGACCTGCAGGCTGTAATCTGTTCTGAAATATCCTGTGAATCTGAGCTGTCCTGAGGTGACAGGTGATTTTGTTTCATTTTTCAATCATGGATTTGATGTCATGAGATTTTAGTCTGAACCTTTTATTCATTTATAGTGATAGATCAATGATTATTCTTAACTGGGATTCTGTTTACTAATATATCAGACACTTTCTCAATTTTGTGAGATGGATGGCTTCATCACATCTTTGGATCCGTTTGGCCTCTCAAAATGCTTCTGAAGATTCTGCTGATGAAAGGAAATGGGGGGCTGGGGATATATAGCTCAGTTGGTAGAGTGCTTGCCTCACATGCACAAGGCCCTGGGTTCAATCCCCAGCACCACCGAAAAAGAAAAAAGAAAGGAAATGGTATTTCATATTGTTATCTTTTGAAAGAAAAAATTATAACAATTAGTTATAAATCTAAATGGTTTTTGTTCTCAGTTCATTGATCAGAACAGCTTTCATGCTACAAAACAAGAGTGAGAGCTCCTGCTGACAAAATGGTGGGTTTTTGTAAGGTGGAAACAAGAAAACAGTATAAACAAAAAACACATATTAACATCATGTTGCTTGTAAAGAGGAAAGCGGAGGGTGATTTCCTTCTTCTGACTCAAGTAGATTAGAATCTTCTATTTTCAGGGAAAATGTCTGTGTCTTGGAATGTTTCCTTGAGGTTTCAGTTTGATGATGGATTATTTAGCATGTGTGACCCCATTTTGGTTTATCTGATCCACTGGGGCCTAGTATAAGGGCTGGGGTCCAAATCAATGGCCCCTGTAACAATATGATAATTGACACAAGACACATGTCTATTAAATGTTCTCATGTTTTAGGAAGGGAAAGATTTAGCAGCTGGGCACAGTGGCACACACCCATATTCCCCAGCAGCTCAAGAGGCTGAGGCAGAAGGATCAGAAGTTCAAAGCCAGCCTCAGCAACTCAGTGAGACCCTCTCTAAATAAAATATGCAAAAGGGCTCAGGATGTGGCTCAGTTATTAAGTGCCCCGGGGTTCAATTCCCAGTAACCCCCCTCCCCCCCCCCAAAAAAAAAAAATTTAGCAAATTTTTAAAGTTTTAAATATAAAATAAATTGGAGGAGGAAGGGAGAATCTGGCCCATTTGGGACATATAAGTTCCTCAGTGTGGTAACATTCACTAGTGCTAGAAGAGTGATGCTGTTTACCCTAGAGCCTGTTCCTTGTGATCAATAGCCTGGTGACAGAAAATGTGGTTCTAGTTTACTAACTTACAAGAGTAATGGAGTCAAAGTTCCATCCTTGACTCCCTCTAGAATCTGCTTTCTCTCGCCTTAGCATTTCTGTTTATTCTTGTCCTAGATGTGAATCCAGGAATTGTAGGGTCTGCTTCCAGCACTGCAGATGGTGTTGAATTCCATGCTCAGTTCATCCTACCTCAACACCCACCCACCCCCAACTTCTTCCTTCCCTGGGTAACAGTGTCCCACAGAAAACAATACATGTGCTTTGTAGTCACATGGAACTGGCCTTTGTAGTCACATGGAACTGAACCTTGACTCTGGCACTAATATTTCTTTTTGCTGCAGCTTTCTTGTCCATAATATGGGCATAACCCGACTAACCATGTACGGCAGTTCTGAAAATTAAATGACAAAGTACACAGTGGCAGGCACATTGTAGGCATTTGACAAATATCACTACTCTTACCACCCCCAGCATTTTTGGAGCTTGAAACTTAAAGGACCTTCATCTTGACCACTGAGCATTCAACTTCCGGTTTAAAATGTGGCCTTCTGTTGGAAATGAAATGATCTAGGTCTGTGTTGCCTTGCAGAAGGAACACTTGCAGGCCCTCCGCGGTGCTTGCTTCTGTTTACAAAGAAACTATAGGGGCCATCATAAATAAGAGGCATAAGCATGTGGCCTCTGGAAGTACATCCTGGCTTTCCCTCCTCCAAGTCACAGCCATATGAGAGGTTAGTTGGAGATGGGGTCTCAGGCAACCTGTGTGTGGCAAAGAAAGAAAGGAAAGGAATTTGATTTTTGGTAAGAGCCATTCCCCAAGGTTGACCTTGTCCTTCCCCCTTAAGTTCCCCTTTCCAGAGTAATGTGTAGTTTGAATGCTTAAATCTAAGCAGGTGAAATAGGTCATTTCCCCCAACCCCCTGGCCCATTTTTTCCCCCTCTGTTCTTTAAACATATAAATCTCTTCTGAAAGTACAAAGCCAAAGCATGTATTTATTTAGTCTGTAAGTATCCGGTTCTTGCCAGGTAACTACTGAACCAAAAGAGGTTTTAGAGCCAAATAATTCCAGTGATCAGCTTCTCGGAGGGCCATTACAGTCAAACTGAAAATGGATACAGGGCCCTCTTGCAACAGTGGCATTCTCAGACTTTTATGTAACACTGATGCTTAGCAACTATTACAAGTTAATTGTGCTTCAGTCATGAAAATCCGAATAGAGAGGTATTATCACGGTGGTGTGTTGTTTTCAACCAAATGTCCTTCCCTGGGTGAATGCAATTGCAAAGTAGACCCAAGATAGCCTGTGTGTTGGGATAAAGGTCTAGGGCCCACCAGAATCATCTTGGACTTTGGCTAAAGGCAAGAGGAGGTTTGATAGAAAGGCGGAGGTGTGGGTTCTTGGTGTCTGTGCCCTTCAGGAAAGGCTCATGTGTGACATGTCATATCACCTCTTCTGTCTCAATTTCATTACTCACCAATGAGGTATTTGACCAACTTTGTGGCTAAGGGCGAGGCTAGCTCAAACTAATACTGGAAAAATCTAGATAAAAACCCAAATGGGGGTCGGGGTTATGGCTCAGTGGTAGAGTGCTTGCCTAGCATGCATAAGGCACTGGGTTTGATCCCCGGCACCACATAAAAATATAAACCCATAAAATAAAGGTATTACAAAAAAAACACAAATGAGATCGTAGATCATCTGCTTCCAAGGAAACTTCACAGGAAACATTCTGCTGTATTTTATTATTCATTTCCACCTATGTATATTCTCTAAAACTTCTCTACACACTTTGAGAAGAATTCCATGAAGGTCTTCCTTCCCTATTCCAACTTAACTTCATGCCATTTTTTATTCTCTCTTCCTGTTCTTTTAAACTGCCAGTTGCCTCTGATAGATAGAAACACTCTAAAAAAAAGAAAAGAAAAAAACACCAGGGCAGTCAGAGAGTTGACTGGTTGTAGTTACGTTTGGCTGTTTGGGCAAAGGGAAGGAGGGGCTGTCAACATCCACTCCATTAGAAGGAGCCAGCAACCATCACCCCTCTTCAAAATCTTTGCCAGCTTTCTTGACTCCCCTTTTTCCCAGGACTGGGTGCTCAAGCCCCAGCAACTGTGAAGAGATTGCAAGGAGTCCTACACTGGCCCAATTCCTTTTATCACCTTCAGGCTGCTCAGAACACAGACATAAAACCCAAGCCTCAAGTGGGCCCCACTTCTGCAATCCCTTGCAGGCCCCCCTTGTGAGCTATTTCAATATATTTGAGTAGCCACTGCACTGAACCACATAAACATGAAAGCATTCACAGGCCTTAGAACCTGACATTGCATCTGGGTAAGCTTTGTGGAAATCAGGGAAGGAAACCCTGTAAGAATAAGCAGGGAAGGTCTGAAGATCTGCAAGGCGGAGGTACCCTGGAGCTGCAAGCCTAGGCCACCTGCCTAGGAGGCTTTTTAAAGTTAGATTTTAGCTTCTTTATAACTGTGAACCAGACAGCCACCAGGAGCCCCGCCTGTGCTGAAGGTGGAGTCCCATTTTCCCCATGTGATCCCCACTGTTTGGTGTGCTCCTAGAGGGACAGTGGAGCCTGAAGGTTTCTCTCCCCACTGAGGAGGTCTCCAGGTGAGGAAGCAGGACAAGCTGCCAGACCAGTCACTCAGGACTTTATGACCTTTTTGTTCATCTTGAACTGCTTGTTGCTGATTATGTTATACATGATGTTGATGATGTTGATGATGATTCTCTCTTGGCCAAATATATTTGGGAAGTACTGAGATATACAAAGCAACTCAGTGGGAAGACTCCTGCAGGAGGCAACCGGAATTTCCTGTTGTTTTGAGTATTTACACCTTCTTTTCCTACTATCCTGGAAAAGAATTGGGACCATACCAAGCCTTTCCAGGTGCCAAAATCAAATGTACTCCCAGCAGTTTGGGGTAGTTCATTCCTATGTTGCCTTTCCCAAAACCCAAAGTTAGAGTCCTAACCTAACAGTCTCCTTGTATTGACATTGCTCAGTTTAGGGGTTTAATACTGCTTTTTTCCCTGCTGCAGAACATTGACATCACCAACTTCAGCAGCAGCTGGAGTGATGGCCTGGCCTTCTGTGCTCTGCTCCACACCTACTTGCCTGCCCACATCCCGTACCATGAGCTGAACAGTCAAGAAAAAGTAAGTCACTGCTCAGTCATCCTTTTCTCTTCTAGAACTACAGGGGGTATTCCTAGTTATGTTGATATATCCCATTGGGGGTTGTTTATAGAGTTGAAAGAGATGTTAGGATATTGATACCAGGGACAGATAACTACTGAATGCATGATTATTCTATGAAGTCTCCTTAGCAGATACTTCTCAGCTTCCCTTTTCAATACTTACCCCTTACACAGTGAAGGCCAGTTACTGTGACTACTGAGAAATTCTTATTTCACACCGTCCAGAGAAAACCCAATGGAATTTCACCTTCATGGTTTTAAAACGTTAACCAGCATTTTTCAAAGTCTATTCCAAGGCTAGTGGTTTAAACTCCATGGAAGAACATCATATTTCACTGCATAATTGTCACAGATATTTATGCCTTTTTTCTGCAAAAAAAAAAAAAAAAGAGTATAACCACTATGTGAAGCTAAAAACATTGTGCCAGTATTACTTAAAAATCATTTATTATTAAACTACCTCTGACACAAGATTAGGATGCATGAGATACTTTTCAATGCAGTGAATTATGCAGTGAAATACTGCATCTGACTGTCATGCGCAAGCTTTGATCCCCAATGCTGCAAAAACAAAAAGCAAAGCAAAGTTTATTCCAAAGAACCAGCAAACGCCAAAAATGAAATGGTATGTTATGTCATATTTTTGGAATTTTCATATGACTTTGTTTAACTCAACATATATTAGACCCACAGAACCTTTTCTTTTGTTTTGTTTTTAGTTCTGCTATAATCGTCCATAACAAGGATTAGCAGACTTGTCTGTTAGAAACCAAATAGCTTTATGAGTCATTTGGTATGTTAGTCAATTTTTTGTCACTGCAACAAAATAACTGAGAAAAGCAACTTAAAGAAGGAAGGATTTATTTTGGCTCACAGTGTCAGAGGTTTCAGTTCATAGTCTGCTGGCTCCATTGCTCTGGGCCTGAGGTGAGGTGGGACATCACAATAAAAAGTCACAGTGTAGAAAAGTTGCTTACCTTAGAGAGCGGGGAGGCCAGAGACCAATATGCCCCTCTAGAGCATTCCCCCAGTGACATACTACCTCCTCCCACTAGGCTCCTGAAGTCTCCACCCCCTCCCAGTAATGCCCTCAGCGATGAACCCATCACAGATTGATCTACTGATGAGAGCAGAGCCCACTTCTCACCTTTGAACTTTGTTCCATTGAGTACCAAGCCTTCAACACATGAGCCTCTGGGGGACATTTCGCATTCAAACCATAATGGTCTTTGTCATAACGATGCAACCTTATCATTAAGCTGAAGTGGCCCTTGACAGTATGTAACTGTGTGGCCGTGGCTGTTGAATTCAGTGCAGAGGCAGTAGCTTGTCAACCTCTGACCTCGTACAACCTACAAAATCATATTCCACAGAGTGTGCTTTAGAAAACACCATGCCTGGGTCCTGCACTCTTTCACTCAGAAAGTATCTCTTGCCAAGCTTGGTGCACAGTCATAAAGACAACAGTGACCAACACAGGCTTGTTCTGTGCCCTCATAAGATAAACAGAAGATAAACACAACTTTTACAAGTTGTGAAAAAGCCAAGAGAAAAACAGTTCTGTGAGAGCGGTCAGTGGGGATCTCATCTGAGCAATATCCCACTCCTGGCAATCCTATTAGATCAGGAAGACTGAGACAGTCTTTCTGAGGAGATGGTACTCAAGCTGATTTATGAAGAACAGATGTGAAGGAGAGCCGTGCAAAGCTCTAGGGGAGCCCTTCCGGCTCATGGAACAACTAAGAAGGGAATGCTGGGGTGCTGTCAAGGATATGGAAGGAAGCATTGACTGGATCCCAGGGGGCAGGAAGAGTGGCTTCTGGAGATGCCAGGGATCAGGCAGAGGAGGCCAAATCCCACAGAGCTTCTGCAGGTGACTGGTGAGAAGTTTGTTCGTTACTCTGTGTATAGTGGGAAGCCATTGAAGGATTCCAAACAGTGGAGAGGCATGATTGGTGTTTATAAAAGAGCTCTCTGACTTTTATGTGAAAGATTGCATTGGAAGGAGAACAAGAATGAAGAAGGAGCTATTGCAGGAGTCATCCGGAGAATTCGTTTTCCTTGACCTCACCCACTAACTGAGACTGTAGTGGTAGTGCAGATAGAAAGATGTAGAAGCGCTCAAAATATGTCTTAGATACAGAATCACCTGGACTTAGCCACAGGTTGGTTGTAGGAAACAGAAGAGGAAGGAGTCAAAGATAACTCCTTGATATCCAGTTTGACAAAACCATTTTTCAGGGTGGGAAATGCATAGAGAGGTTTTAACCCATATCAGGAGTCAAATGGACATACCATGCATAGCCAAGTTGACATATAAAATTAACCATCATAGAGCATATTAAAATTTTAGAGCACTTTTATGTGGGGACTTTGTCTATTATCTACAAAGCAGGATGGACAGAATTATTGAACATTTTGAAGGAAAAAAGGTTTTGTTTCTAATTCTGTTAAAGTCTGAGATGTCAGAAATATGTAGGTACTAGTGTCAGAAAAGGAACTGGATAGCAAGTCTGGAGTTCAGATGGGAAGTCAGAGCTGGAAATAACGATCTGGGGTCATCAGTGAAGATGAGTGCTGTGTAGTAGAATAATATCTGCACTGTCCAATATGGCAGCCATCAACCACAAAGGCTGTAGAGCACATGAACTATTACTAGTATGACTAGTTAATTTCAATTTAAATAGCCACATGTCACAAGTGGCTACTGTATTAGACAGGGTACATATGATATTTAAAGCTATGGGCCTAGAGATCATCCAGTCACTATGTCTTAAGGGAAATTGTCTTGGTTTTTTATTGCTGTAATACAATACCTGAGGCAGAGTACTTTATAAAGAAAAGAGGTTTATCTGGGCACAGTGGCTCACACCTGTAATCCCAGCCACTGGGAGGCTGAGACAGGAGGATCATGAGTTCAAAACCAGTCTCAGCAACAGCAAGGCGCTAAGCAACTCAGTAAGACCTTGTCTCTAATAAAATTCAAAATAGGGATGAGGATGTGGCTCAGTGGTTTAGTGCCCCTGGGTTCAATCCCCAGTACAAAAAAAAAAAAAAAAAAAGGTTTAATTCACGGTTTAGGAGATTGAAAGGCCAAGACTGGGTGTCCCATCTGTTCAGCCTCTGAGAAAGACCTCGGGGCAGATGGCATCACATGGTGGGAGCATGTGCAGAAGAGATCAATGAGTGAGACAAGAAGCCAGCGATGCTGGGCTGCTCTTTTTATTGCAACTTGCCCTTGTAGGAACCAGTCATGCTCCATGAGCACGACTTTCATTACTTCTGAGGTTGACGTGTAGTGATTTAATCGTCTCCCATTACCCCCTGTGTCTTAAAGGTTCCACCACCCAACACCACACTGGGCCAACTGTCCTTCACGTGAACATTGGAGGGCACATTCAAGCCAAATCAAACAGATAACCACAGCAGAAGTGTAGAAAGATGAGGACTCCGGTGTTTGTGCTATAGGTAGAGGGAGATGACCCAGCAGAGGGAAGGGGAGGGAGCAGCCAGACAGTAGGAGTGGAGTTTGGGCCAGAAGGTTCACAGAGGCCAAGGCATCTGGCATAGCCTCACAAGCAAAGCCTGCATCTGACCATGATCTGGGTGTCCATCCTCCACACCCTCTTAATTTTTCAGCCCTTTCCTTCCACTGATCACAGAAACAGTCAAGGAAATAGTGGGCATAGAACAACGGAAAGTGATTAAGGCCTTCCTTAAACTGTAGGGAGTGTGAGCTTGAGCACTTGCATACCCCCAACAAGCCTGTGTCTTTGGAAAGTGACGTTGGGCTGCAGTAAGCAGACTTGACTTTTATGTCTTTGAATCAAATTCAGGTCTGGTTGGAAATAATGGGCCTGCGAGTATTCGCTTTCACACTTCAAGTCATGAGCATTGCTTCCTGGTGTCCGAAACCTCTTTGTTTCATTCTGGATCCCTGATATTCCCCTACTGGGACATGACCTCTGTGCCCAGTGGCCTCTCGCAGCCTGGAGACATGCAGTAGGGCAGGCAGACATTGATGTTCTTCCTTCTGTTGCTCTGACAGGACAGAGGCCCCTGTTTTCTACATCAAAAACTCATGGTCTTTCATGGGTCTTTTACAGGGTTGTACTCCTTTTCCCAGATCTATCTGCTATCCTCAGGGAACAGCCACTGGTGAAAGACCATGGGTCTTTGATGTGGTTCAGGAGTTAGCTCCAGAGACCTGACACAATTTAAGATCTGTTTGGGTTCACGTCCTCTCTATCAACAGGAGTTAGGTTTGTGTCCCACCACCTACGTCTCAGTTACCACCTGCCCACCATTCCTTGAAGAAACATCTGGCTTCCTATTTTCTAAACACCCCCATCCTGGCTGCCCTCCACGTACAGTAATTGCAGCAGCCACGTTCGTTTGGGGCTACTTGAGGTGTGTTGAGCGTGCCCTGGGGGTGAGAGGCCAGATTCCTTATGGTTATGGAAAAGCATTTTCAGGATGTGTTAACTTAAGCAGATTAATACAGTGTAAAACTGAGCACATGTGTGAAACCCAGTGTGGAGGGAATCTTACCAGAGGAGAGAGGGTATAAACAGGAGAGTTTTCCCAAAATGGGTTTTTCAGGGCTGGGGCCTTCCAGGAAACTAAGGTTCCCCTTCACAATCCCCCCAATCAAATCAGAAAGATTTCAGACATATTACTCAGAAATTCTAACAGGCATAAGATTATTAGAAGGAGTAGGAAAGGGGGGGAAGGGGACACTCTAAAAGAGAAAAGTAGGTCGTTTTGGGAGGAGGACAGCATGTCTCTATTGCACTCCAGTTTAATTGGGGGTCCCAGGAAAGTTTCCAGAGAGTCTCACTCAGGTTCACCTCTTGACTTTTGATTGACAGCAGACTTTCAAGTCCCCCAACCCCATGACAACTGTAGGGGGACTTTGGCCCGTGCTGACCAGTTCTAACTGAACCTGTTCTTATAGAT